CTTTGGGGCTGGAACCATAGTTCCACTGCTGGAAAGCCCAAAGAAAACATCTAGGAGGTAAAGATGAGGCATGTTTCCAGAACAACTATTTCAACAATGAACTGCCCCCAACAAAGATACATGCCACCAAGGTGAGGAAATGGCAGATGGCAAAGGCATAACCTCCAGGGTCTTTGCTGGACCAGAATGTCAAAGAGTCAGAGTAGTTGACTGTAATTTAAAAACTGAGTCTTTGATAGTATATGACACAGTCCCTCATAGTTACTTTCCTCATTGCTACTAGAAGACACTTCACCAAATCAATTTAAGGGAGGATTTATTCTGGCTTACAATTCAAGTAGATATATTCCATTATAGCAAAAAAGGCATGGCAGTATGACCTGAAGGCTGGCTAGTCAGCATTTAGAAAGCAAAGTGAACAAGAAGTGGGTACCTCAAGTTCTGCCTTAAGTAATCTACTTCCTCCAGTGAGGTTCCACCTCCCAAAGGACTCACAACCTTCCTAAACAGCCCTGTCAAGTAGGGGTTATGGGTTCAAACACCTGAGGCTATGGGGGTACATTTCATATCCAAACCACAACAGCCACTAAGCATAGCCTTGAGGAAGTTCGAGTAACCTCTGGTGCTAACAAGCTGATAGCCAGACAAAAGGTATTTTGGGCACCATTATAAAGGAAGAAGGTCTCATTCAGGAATAGGGATGTTGTAACTGTGAACAACAGTGGTGGTGGGGAGCCTTGGCTTCTAGGAATTTAGCACAACGGGAAAAACAGACATGTCTCCAATAAATTTATAAATGAGAAAAATCATTTGAGGCCTGATAAATTCTTTGATGAAAACAAACTGTGTCTCCTAGTGATGTAGAAGCTACACCAACAGTTTTTCACCAATAGTCTAATCTGCCTAAATGTGAGCTGAAAAGAGACAAAAAAAAACATGTCAAAGTGGACCAAGACCATGGGGCCTCAATTGTACACAAAGAACTACAGGCAACTAGAGAATGCTGAGAATGGGAAAAACAGTCTTTCCCAGGGAAGAGCACACCAACTGGTTATTCAATATCAAGTGGTCAGCCCTGAAAATATTCTTATGAGTAATGTTATTCAAACTGAGCAGGTTATATTTAGGAACATATGCCATGTGACATCAATTATTGAAAAAAGAGGCCATGAATTTAAAATATAGCAAAGAGGGATATAGGAAAGAGTTTGGAGGGAGTATATGGAAGGAGAAAATGTTGTGATTATATTATAATCTCAAAATAAAATAAAAAATAGGGAAAGTTCTATTTCTTCAATTTTAAAATGTTTCTTTATTGAGCACAAATTATGTGCATAAATAATCTACCATGTAATTGTGGAGATTATATTGTCCTTATTGTGAGACTCTTCCAGAACTACTATTCCAAGAATGAATGGAATAATATAATTCAGGGATGGACGAGGAGTATGTCCTCTATCCTAGCCTATATAAACAGACCCACAGTGTTCTGGGTTCTTAGGGGATTTCTCTAGGACCTGTTTTTCACATCTTAGTCTGAGACATAAGGTCCCATTTTCTGGGGTGACAGGACTGTCCACTAATCCTTTCTTAGCTGTGTTGGCCTGGACTATCCAGAGCCAAGGCTCTGGCTCCAGATTTCAATGTTCTGTGCCCTTTATCAAGGCTGAGCTCTGCCTCATGTTCCCTAAACCTTCCCCCAACCAACTCCTCTAGTCTTTCTGGTCTTACTTTGGACAGAAAGAATTGTGCATCAGTTTGTTCTCTAAAGAAGTCTTCCTCAGAAATCATTACTTGATCCAGAACAATAATTAGTACACCCACCACTAGTCCCCAGTAACCTAACTTTCTTGTTAGGGGCAATGCTGTGTTTACTACCTGGTCTTAGGTTGAGTTCTTAACCTCCATATCTTAGAACATGATTGTATTTGAAGACAGAGTCTTTAGAAAAAAGATATCTGAGATTAAATGAAGTTTTGATGATAGGTCCTGATTCAGTCTGATTTGTGTTTTTGTAAGGGGAACTATGAGCACACAAAACACTACAGATACATGAATATAGTGAGAAAGTGGCCAGATGCAAATGAAAAGAGGCCTCAGGACCAGGCAAGCCTTTATCTAGGACCACAGAGATGTGGGAAAAGAAGTTTCTGTTACTTAAGCCTAATTTGTGGCATTTTGTCATGGTGGCCTAACAGGCAACACATTTCCCCAGAGCCATTTTCCCTTCCCAGATGTGTGGATCTGACAATATCAACTAGGCAAACTGGGGTGGGGTGGTGTCTGGAGTCTAGGTTCTGGTGTGCCCCTGGGACATGACAGGAAAAGAATAAAACTAAGACCCAGGGTGGCTGAAGCTTGAGCTAGGAGCAATGGACACAACACTTTCCCTTAGCAGGAGTAGGTGAGTTCTGTCAATTTGTACGTTGTTCAGACTTTTAGACTATTTATGTGAACTTTATTATTCAATAAATAATGTGATGAAGATCACAGCATGGTTAGATGAGACTCAATGTACATTTAGTTTACTTGAAGTTATCTGACCACTTTCTATCTTGTTTTTCAGATGCAGTGTGTGTGTGGGGGGGGGCGTGGTGAACCTTTATCTTCTTTCACATGAAGATTAAGAATTAAGATTAAGAAAATAGGAAAGGAGAAGAACAGATGTTCTCAATGGCTAACTTTAGTTAAGATTTAAAGTATCTTCTCCATGTTCCTGACCAAGTCTTCAGTTGTCCTGTAAAAAACATCCAGGTCTAGCCGGTGTGATAGCACACACCTTTGATCCCAGCACTTGGGAGGCTGAAGCAGGAGAATCTCTGTGAGTTCAAGATCAACCTGGTCTACAAAGCGAGTTCCACAACAGCTAAGGCTGTTACACAGAGAAACCTTGTCTCAAAAAAACAAAACCAAAACACATCCAGGGCTAAAGCTTCAGCAAATTCCTTACAGCTTCATTTCAACTGTCCATCTCTAGTTCAACTGTCCAGACTTACACTGAATCTCTGTGGGAATTTTGCTCTTGGCCTAGCTCCAAGCACATGAAAACTTTGCTTGACGGCTCTTTTGGACCAAGTTTTTTGGATGCTAAGAAATCCCTGAATATGATGTCCCCCCTCAGGCCAAAAGTGCAGTACCTCAGGCTACTGTGTAGGCCAGCCCACAGGTACTGAAACTAAACTAGGCCACAGTATTGGTAATGAAACCACAGATTCTCCTACACTTTCCCTCTGAACCACAGTGTGCATATGTCCTTATCCCTACCACTGCGATCTAAACCAAATTAAAATGGCCCCTTGGTGCTTTTCAAATGCCAGAGAGCCTCATGAACAAAAAGACCATCGGTGGCTACTATAACCACCAGGCTAAGTGGCTCCAATGTTGGAGAATGGGAGTTGAATGAGCTATGTTCTTAGGATAATATAGATACTTCAGTTAATTCGAGTGACTCATCAAAAAGTAACAAGAAAGTAGGTAGTATTTTTCCAAGTGTAGACCCACAGAAACATTCCAATTTCTACCCCACAGTAACTGCTCAAATTGAGGTTCAAATGCTGCTTGAGAGAAGCAGGAACACAATAGCCACCTAGATGACCAGATGTCAACATGGCCACAGACGACTGTTCTCTGCTTATAGGTACCTCTGAGTTTATGGACTCTAGATACGACCCTTTCTGCTGCCAGGAATGCTTGCAGAGAATGTGACTCCTAACTCTTGAGTTCTACCAGTGGTTTCCAACATAAGATCATAGGTAGTCAACATACTTCCTCTAGCTCAGGTTGATATACTCCAGTCTTGAGTTATTAATTATCTTGCTTTTGGAATCTCCAAAAATCAGAGGTAACCTATCATCCAATCCTCCCCTATAAAGAAAGGGAAGCCAGGACTAGAGACTGACATTTCTTGAGTACTCTGTATTCTGAAGGCAGCAGGCCTCCAGCCTCAAGAACCAACATAGGTCAAGGCCACTAATGTTATTGATGATCTTGCTAATACAAGCAGTATCTTTTATCTCACCCCAAAGAACTGGGCTAAACACTTAGCTCTTAGCCATTCTGGTATGCTAGCCCCAACCCTAAGAAGCAAAGGAACCTGAGACCATTTCCAAATTCTAAAGCAACTGCAAAAATAAAGTAAAATAATAAGAATATACATATACATATACATATATACATATATATGTACACACACACAAACACATATGGATGACATTGCAGGACTGTATACTTTACCTATTTTCTTATAAAATAAACAATTTTCAAAATAAATGAAGTGGTATACAGAGATAAACACTAAACAATAGCAGATAAACCCTGTTTCCCAAAGCTATAGTCTTTTCAGATCCTTTTAGTGAAAGGAGGCTGAGAATCAGCACTGTGCTTATTTCCAGAATGCTAACAATCATGCTCCATAACTAGTATTCTGCATTTCAACACAGCAGAACTGGTTGTCACAGAATGAGAGGGTCAGAGGGCAGCAATTCAATCAAGAAAGTCACAACACTAAAAGCACAAACCTGTAGCTCAACATCCTTCCCCTGCATCCAGCAGCAGCAGGCAGATGGCAGAGGAATTAACTTTGCCTCACACCACAAGGCCCACTGCTGAGAGAGGCTGTAAGTAGATTAAGCCCTGATCCTCTGCCCCTAAAAGCCCCTGACCCATTTCTCTGTCTGGAAAGAAAACCACTGTGGTAAGTCAGGCAAGCAGAGGCACAGAGAGACTCTGGTCAACATAGGCAATATCAACAAGTGCTGTTTTTCTGCAGGAGGCAGCAGTGGGAACACTGAAGAGTGATACAAGGTATCCTAAGTGCATTAATAGGGGAGCTACGTGGCTTAAGTGTCAACCACATGTTCTCTTCTTTTATGAAAATAGGATATCGCCCCGCCCCCTCCCCACCCCCAGCCTAGGTGCCAACAGGACAAACTCTCACTGCCTAGTGCTACCATCACATCCGATATACTAAGTTGTCCTACAGGTGTTTCCAGAAACTTCACCTTGAGATCTTGCACCTGGGCACAAAGGAAGTGGGTAAGGTCAGTGAGGACACAGAAAGGAACAAACTATCCTTCCTGGATCGAAGGGGCATCAGGAGTCTTGCAAAGAGGAGGAGTTGGCTTCCTGAAGACTAAGTCCCAATGCACTCGAGAACTCTAGGGTTTAGCTCCTGTGCCAGAGGTTTCTGGTGTACTGCCAAAGCTCCGCCTCACAGGGCAGCTTCACCAGGAGGTTCCACAGGGTGGCCCCTCTTTCTGCTGGCTCAGGTCTTGGAACAGTGTTGGTCTTTCGAGCCGACCCCACAGACAGCGTGAGTACTGGAGCCAGTCCCTCTGGCCAGAGGGTTCTCCCGAGGCGGCAGGCGCCCTGGGTTGGAGGGGACAGCCTCGGCAACAGGTGACTACCCATGGCCCGGAGAAGCCTCCGCGCCGGGGTCCAGAACGGCCCCAGTGTCCCCGAAGTCTCGCCGGCCGCCCGCGGCACTTACACACGCTCGTGGGTCCACCGCCGGGCAGAAACGAAACTTTCTAAGGCCGAGCGGAAGAGTAGAAAAGCGTATTGCCAGCGGCCATGAAGCGCACAGTACACCAAGGGCGCGTGCGGACTACGACTCCCGGCATGCTCCACAGATGGCCTACAACTCCCATCGGGTGCCACGGGCCAATGGACACCAACTACAACTCCCGGCATGCTCCACGAGGTGGCGTTCCTTTGGGATAACCTGAACAAGCTTTGCATACCCGGTGCGGGGCCGGAAGTCGTCTGTGTGGACTCCTGAGCTAGGGTTGTTGGCTACAATTGTTAAGCACTTGCAATGCGTCTGATTGGCGTTGAATTGTGCGTGAGCCATAAATATAAAATAATGTATCTGATCCAAAAATCCCCCAAACAATGTAAAAATAGCTCATTAATATTCTGTGCTATTAATTTTTATTTACTGAACTAAAAGAATGAACCCATTACGTATTGTTGGACCTAAATTCTCAGTTTTTGGTTCTCCTCATTAACAGAGACATAAATCAGTGTTTGAAATTATGTGCTAATGAACTACCTACCCTGCTTATCTTCCTCAGCCCTATGTTTTTGCTTGTTGTTGCATTGAAAAGCATCCTGAAGCCTGATTCAATAGAACACTGCATTCCAAGACCAGTATGGATGAACATGCTAAAGAAAAGGGAGAGTACATAAGATGTCAGCCTGTGACTAGGTTCTGTTCCTTGGCTCTGGCTGGCCACTACTTACTCTGCCTTACTTTTTTATCATTTTAGCTAGAAATGCCTGTCTGCCTCACAGAACTTAGCTAATTAGTGGCATATGCCAGACCTCAGCATTTCATGTTTTCAGGATAGAGTCACACAGGAAGGACAAAGATTTCTTAATTAATTTCATGTTTTACGTGAGATGTATATGAGATAACATATTAACTTGATGGAGTTGGCAGTTTGTGGATGGGAATAAAAAGGATCCTCCTGACAGAAATGATTCCCTTTTCTGTGGGAGGAGATGACAATGCAAATGAAGAATTATCAACATAGTAGAGTAAGAAAGACTTGCTCCAACCACAGTCTGAACAGCTTTGGGATATTAAGGATGAGAGAGATTTCAAGCACCCTTATTTGAAACTTAGACCCTAAGTAAGTTTATAGAGAAGAAGAAGACAGGCCTTGAACAGTGGTGTTTTATATAAGGGTAATGGTACATTTTGGAACTTCACAGTTAGGCATTTCATCTGGGGTACAGTTACACAAATTAAGATGACTATGACATCACTAGACAATTTAGTCTTAAGGGATCACAGTTATATTTGGTTCAACATTGACCAAAATGTTGTGCAGCAGATTATTGTAAGAACCTAATATGTCATACCCTAACCAAAAATCGATATAGCATTATGTTTAAAACTCAACACAGCTCTGTGATGTAGGTAGGATTCACTTCTGTACTTCAAAACTGAGGAGATTGAGGCTCAGAGAAGTAAAGGAACACCAAACTCACTTGTCTAACGGACAGTGCTGTAAACTAGGATGGAGTGGAAAGTCCCCGAGGCATCTCTACGCAAGACATTGTCAGGTATATGAAATGCTCAGCTTTGTCTATAAAGGAAAGGAATCCAGAAGAGGGCAACAGATTCCCCTGGAGTATAACTGGTCTTTCTTCAGACCATCAGCTCCCAAAAATAATGACAGGGAGACTTTTTATTAATTATGAAAACTTGGCCTTAGCTTAGGCTTGTTCCCAATTAGCTCTTAAAATGCAAATTGACCTCTTTATATTAATTTATGTTCTGCCACATGGCTCGTTAACCCCTCCTCAGTAGCTTATGTCCTACTTCCTCTGGGTCTGCTGAAGAATCCCCCTCATCAGATTCTTTCCCAGAGTTCCTTTCTCTCCCTGGAAGTCCTGCCTATCGTCTCCTGCCTAGCTATTGGCCATTCAGCTCTTTATTTTAAATCAATCAGAAGGTGCCTATCTCAGGCAGGTGAGGAAGGACAGAGACACATCTTCACATAGTGTACAAAAAGATTATCCCAACACTGGAGCTGAGGTTAAAAATGGTTGTGAGTCACCATGTGAGTTCTGGGGACTGAACCTGGGCCCTCTGGAAGAGTAGTCAGTGCTTTTAACTGCTGAACCATCTCTCTATCTTCTTGAAAGTTGCTTTTTCCTGATAAATCATAGCTATTTTTATTGCTTTATTTTTATTTTTCATTAATTCTTTAAAATCTACTGTGATGTGATTTTATTTATTTATTTTTGATTGAAAAATGGGATCTGAGTTCTACCTCTGGCAGACATGACAAACTAAACTGCCCCAAAGGGGTATTCTGGTGGAGTCACCTCATATTACCAGGGAAATCTGGGTCCTCTCTTGGGGTTCTTAGTTTCATTAATAAAAGAATTTAAGAGGGGTTGGAGATTTAGCTCAGTGGTAGAATGCTTGCCTAGCAAGTACAAGGCCCTGGGTTTGGTCCTTAGCTCCAGAAAAAAAAAATTAAGAAATAACTCAGAAGGAGGCTTGATAACAATTTTATTAAAGCTTTAAAGAAAAACACCAGGCAAACAAGCTGTAAATCAAAGAAAAATCCCAGACAGGTAGCTTTCCGGAGGTGGAAGATAGAACAGAGAATAAAAAGAAGCAACAGGAAGACACTGAAGTAGAGGCCATTGTAGAGATAAAGTCATGGGTATGTGATCATGAGAATAAGCTAGAGAGATGCTGGAAAGGCAGAATCCACAGGACCTGGCTCTGCGAGCTTAGGGAAAGGGAATGCAGTGCTTGAGGAGGATTCAGTTTGGAGAATGGTTGAAAGGGGAATGCTGGCACTATCATCCAGATGGTAGGAAATCAGCTTTCTCTCAATCTAGAAGAGAGAAAATGACAGAGGAATCTTCAACATGCCTTTGTTAAATGGACTTTGCTTATCTGAACCTTCATGGATGTATTGGTGTCACCTAGAAATTAGCAACAATATCTTATTCATCTTTGTATTGTCTAAATAATTACTTAGTGCAGAGGGTAGCACATATTGCATTCAATTATAGGGTGAATATTTAAAAGCTAGTTTGTGCGTTAGCAGCTGTTGCCACAATACAGAACTATCTTCAGTTTAGTGGGATTTTTATGGTCTAGACTTCATTGTGGCTATACTTATTTGAGGATGTAATTATTCTTGTCCTGAAGACATTTTCCCCAATAGCTGCAAAGAAGCACAGAACCAGCCACCACCAAAGTGAAAAAGATCAGTTGGGACAATCCTATGTGCCAGTAACCTCACTGCACAATTAGCACATACTGAGAGCTTTGAGCCCTCCCAAAATCTGGAAATTCTTCCATTTAGGATCTTCTGACCAACCACTGATAAACAATCTATGTCTAAGTGAGAGAATGAATGATGAGCTGAGTCCAGGAAGTATTGCTTTGGATTGCCCATCTGGAAGCCACTTTCCCACAGCTGTCATTTCTTTCCTCCACACCCCTGCAGTAGTTGCTGGCATCTCCACTGTTGTGTCATATTCAGTGTTCTTCCTGATCCACTTCTTGCCTTCCTCCAACTCCCTTAGTCACTTCTGTGTGGCTGCCCTCTCCTCTCAGTAGAAGGAGGGGCCCTCATACATGAAGGCACCAGGGGAGTAGGAGGATGAGACAGGGCTAGATGTCTTCTGCCGGCACAGCCAGACCTGCTGGAGGAGACGTTTTAAGTGTCTGCGGAACTTGACCCCAACAAAGACATAAAGCACTGGGTTGAAGCAGCAGTGGGAGAAGGCCAGCTTGCGGCAGATGATCATAGCCATGTCCAGCTGCTGCCTGATCTCACAGGTCTGCTGGATGATTCCAGTTTCTTGCAGTGTCCTTAGGAAGAGGATGAGGTTGTAGGGAGCCCAGCTGAGGAAGTATGCCACCACAATGGTGAAGATGAGCCTGACTGTCCGGTGCCTCTGTCTGGACCTTGAGCGAAACAAGGTCCTCAGAATCTGTATATAACAGAATAGGATAATCCCCATGGAGAGGAGGAAGAAGATGTTGTGCTGATAGACTGAGGCCAAGAATCCACCGAGTTCAAAATAATCACATTTTGGGGAAATCACCTTGTGGAAGATAGCATCAGGGATGGAAGACAGGATGCTGGCTGTCCACACAGATATGGTCACCAGCACACGGCAGCGGAGGGTATGGATACCCAGAGTAGAGACGGGGCTCACTACAGACAGGTAGCGGTGGATGGTCATAATGGTGAGAAAGAAGATGCTGCTGTAGAGGCTGATGGAGAATATCAGGTTGAGGAGCTTGCAGAGGAAATCGCCTAGCAACCAACCCCAATGTTGTGCTGAGGCCCACACAGGCAGCAGGCAGGAGAACATAAGGTCTGAGAGACACAGGTTGAGGATGAAGATATTGGTGAGTGACTCTAGATTCTCATACTTCACCAAGACCCAGAAAACCAGGCTGTTACCCACCAGGCTGAGGAGAAATACCAGAGAGTACAGGACAATGGTGGAGAAGGTGGCAAAGATGGTCTTGTTCTCACATAGACGACTTGGTGTATCATCATAATAAAAGGTGATATTCTCAAAGGCTGTAGAGGACTCCATTTGGACCCAGAAGGCAGAGATACTGAGAGCATCTGAAATGATAGACGTGTAGGGTTTAAATCCATATGGTTTGAATAGAGATCATTAGGACCCATGTTACAAAAAAGTAAGGTCCATGGGCCAGATTCTATTGGTGAACTATTTATAACAAGATTAAGGATTGGACCATTACATAAAGTCATTAAAGAATGTTTTTCTCTCCCATAGAGAGACTTTTTAGACCAAGGACACATAACATTGATTTATATTCTGCCATAAACTCCATTCTCCTGGTAGACTGGCAACTGAGAAGTGTTAAGGCAGCTCAGGTTCACAGTAGATGTAGATGAAAAGAGAAGTGGAACTGGACTGAAAGACTTGAAACCAAAGTGGGCTCCACTATTGTGCCCTTGTGCCATTTTTTTAAACCTTTCTGAGACTTAGTTTCTCATTTACAAAAGGGCTCATGTTCCTAGAGTCATTCATTCAGTTGTTCAATGTATGGCTAGAAAACATTTATTCAACGTCACTATTCAATAAATGGCTAGAGAGTGTTGTGTCTGTCTTCCCTGTCTTTCTCTCTCCCCCTTTCTGTCTCCTTTCACCTTCTCCATTCTCTCTTATTTTCTGTTCACAAACTGCATAGATCTTGACATAAGGCTTGCGTTGAAAAATTTTCTCTTTCTTGGGATAGTCTGAAAAAGCAAGAGCACAGACAAAGTAAAATAATGCCAGGGCTACAGATAAAAAATCCTTGCTAACACAGAGGATTAATTCTCAGGGAAGAAAGCTTATTCAGTCGAGAGTTTAGTTTACAGGTATTATAGAGGTAAGCAAGTATCAGAAGCAGGGAAGGAGGAAAGCAGCTAAGAAAACTGTAGTGGGCCAAACTTATTCAACCTCCTTTTTAACTGGGTATTAGAAACAGCGAGATGAGAAGGCTGAATAAATGACTGGAAGGGCTGCAACTTTCATTTCGATAGGTCATGGAAGCTTCTGGGCCATATGAGGAGGATGGAAAGCTTGAAGCAGCAGCTATCTGAGTCAGATAAGTGAGTTCTCATCACCTGCTGTGTGTAGGATACTGTGCCTGTATACCATAGCAATTCTCTGTGATCCTGCAACTTTCTATAAGATATATCTACCTCCATTTCATAGGATAAGAAAGTGGTCCAAGCCTGGTGAAAACACTTTCTCAGCATTATAAAACCAGGAAGCTGGAGCAGCTAAGACTGCAACTCAAACTCCTATGTTCTTGTATTTTGAGAAAGATAATTGGAGAAATAGTCTGAGCTTCTCAATTGAAATTAAAATTGAAATAAGCTGGGCATGGTAGTACATGCCTATAGTTTGGCTACTCTAGGACTAAGGTGGGAAGATTACGAATTAGAAGTCAGCCAGGGCTATCTAGTGGAACGATGTTTTGTTTTTTGTTTTTTGTTTTTTTTTTTTTTAATTTAAAAAGTGTGTCGTGTCATAATAAAACAGCATGGTTGTGGCAAAAACAAAAAACAAACAAACAAACAAAAAACTCAAGTCACGTAGATCAGTGGAATAAATGGAAAAGCTGAGGAATATTATTTTAAGGTGTGTTACTTTTGTTTATATTGCATTTGTTTAACTCTGTGAAGCTGTGTTACTTTCTCAGTCTAAAACACCCGATGGTCTAATACAGAGCTGAACGGCCAATAGCGAGACAGGAGAGAGAAATAGGCAGGATTGGCAGGAAGAGAGAATAAATAGAAGGAGAAATCTGGAAGAGAAAAGGAGAAGTAGCTAGAGAAGGAAGAGAACTCCAGGGACCAGCCACCTAGCTACACAGCAAGCCACGGAGTAAGTGTAAGATTTACAGAAGTAAGAGAATGGGAAAAGCCCAGAAGCAAAAGGTAGACGGGATACTTTAAAGTTTTAAGGAAAGCTGGCAAGAAACAAGCCAAGCTAAGGCTGAGCATTTATAAGTAAAAATAAGCCTCCATGTGTGATTTATTTTGGAGCTGGGTGTTGGGCCCCCCAAAGAGTAAAAAACAACCAATACACACAGCTATAGCTACCTACCAGATTTTTGACAAAAATATAAAAATCATACATTGGAGAAAAGTCAGTCTTTTCAACAAATTGTGTTGGGAAAGCTGGTTATCTACATGTAGAAAAAAAAAACTAGATCCCAATAAAAAACAGTTCAAAGTGGATTAAAGACTTTAAGACCTGAACTTTCTGAAACTGCTAGAGGAAAACAGAAAACACTTTAGGATTTGTCATAGGATCCCTTTTAGAAAAGGAGTCCAATAGCTCAGAAAATAATATAAGAATAGATAAATGGGATTGCATGAAATTAAAAAGCTTCTGCATAGCAAAAGAAACAATCAGAGGATGAGATGGCCTATAGAATGGGATACATTTGACAGAAGATTTGTGTGTAGAATATATAAAGAACTTTTAAGAACTGAATACTAAAAACCCAAACAACTCAATCAATAAATAGGCTAATGAAATGAGCAGACAGTTCTCAAAAGATGAAGTAAAAATGGCCCAAAATATATTTAATATCATTAGGGATCAGAGAAATGTGAATTAAAACATACTGATATTTTATCCCCCCAGTCAGAATGCCTATCATTATGCAAACACAAATGGTGAGGGTGTAGGGAAAAAGGAACCCTTATTCACTGCTGGTGGGGATGTAAAATGGTATAGCACTATAGTAATCATTATGGAGGTGTGGGGATATTTTATTTGTGCTGAAATGTGGTAATATTTTATTTGTATATTAATAAAGTTTGCCTGGAGATCAGAGGAAATAGCAAGCCAGTAAACACAAAAGTCAGGCAGTGGTATCACACGCCCTTAATCTGATTACATGGCAGGTAGAGTCTCTGTGTGTTCAAGGACACACTAGGGAACAGCCAAGCGTGGTGACACATGCCTTTAATTCCAGTACCAACCACAGAGACCTGGAGGTCTGCACAGACAGGCAGTGACAAGGAAGAGAGGTAGCTGGGCTAAGAGCCAATGAGATGGCAGAAAAGCAAGGCAATAAAGGTGCGGGTAGATAGGAAGAAACACACTTTTGGTAGTTGCAGAGCTGGAGAGGTAAGATTGGTGGTTCCTCAAAACCTAAAGGTAGAACTACCACACGATTCATTCTTGAGTATATATCTAAAGATCTCTAAGTCTTTACAACACAGAGATACCTGCAGATCCATGTTTCTTGTAACACTATTCAGAATCAGCCAAAGGTCATCTGTTAACCGATGAACTGGTAAAGAAAAATGTGTTAATGTTTTGGTTTGAAAGAGAATGGCCCCATAGGCTCATATATTTGAATGCTTAGACACCAGTTAGTGGAAGAGTTTGGGAAGAATTAGGAGGTGTAGCCTTATTGGAGTTGATGTGCCACTGAGAGTAGGATTTGAGTTTTCAAAAGCGCAAGCCAGGTCCAGTCTCTCTCTCTCTCTCTCTCTCTCTCTCTCTCTCTCTCTCTCTCTCTCTCTCTCTCTCTCTCTCTGCCTGCTGTAGGTGGATCAGAATGTAAAGCTCAGAATGTAACTATTACTATAGTATCATGCCTTTTTGCTTCCCATAATGATCATGGCCTAGTTCTCTAAAACTATTAAGCAGGTCCCTAATTAAATGCTTTCTTTTACAAGAGTTGCCTCCATCATGGTTTCTTTTCACAGCAATAGAACAGTAACTAAGATATAACACAATGGAGTTTTATTCACCCATAAAGAAAAATGATATTAAGTCATTTGCTGGAAAATGGTTGCAATTGGAGATCATTGTGTTAAATGAAATAAGCTGTGCAAATATTGTTTATTTTTCCCCTGTCTTGAAGAACCAGATAGCCAGGTTTGGGGCAACTAAATATACTGAAAAGTGGGAGTATAAATCACAGAAGAAAAAAAAAGATAGAAAGTTCCATATTTTGTCCATATATTCTGCTCAAATGGTTATCTTTTAACCGTAAGTGTGCTAGTAGTACCTGAAAGAACTGAGTTGATATTTGAAGTGCTGCCCTCTGGAGGGGAGTCAGAGCTTAGTGTTAGCATTTGTTTTTCAAATATTTGAGGAAGAAACAACACTAACCTTGGACAAATATCTGAAATAGAAGATAGATCCCCTTCAACTTGCTTTATGAGGCAAATATAACTATGATACCAAAATCAGACAGAAAATTTACAATACACAAAAACTACAGACTAATAGTCTTCATGAACACAGACACGAAAATTCGCCTTTTACTTTTTGAAAGAGACTGGTCTTAAACTCATTATATAGCCAAGGCTCTTGAACTTCTGATCCTCCTGGATCTATTTTGAGACTGGTAGGATTCAAGGCCTGTAACACCATACCAGGTTTATTCAGTGCTGGAGACGAAATCCGGAGCTTTGTCCGTGCTAGGCAAATGTTCTACCAACTGAGCTACATCTGTACCTCAACACAAAAATTCTTTCCAAAATGTAAGTTGAGTCAAGTTCAATAATACATTTAAAATATTTATTACATTTATTTATTTATTTATTTGTGTTTATGAGTGTATGCATTACATACTTGCCATGGTATGCATTTGGAGGTCAGAGGACAACATGTGGAAGTTGGCTTTCTCCTTCTACCAGGTGTATCCCTGGGATAGAACTCAGGTCATGAAGCTTGGTGCAAACATCTTTGTCTACTGGGCCATCTCTCTGGCTCCAGTAGTGTTTTTTTTTTCCCCCGTTTTTCGAGACAGGGTTTCTTTGTGTAGCTTTGAAGCCTTTCCTGGAATTCACTTTGTAGCCCAGGCTGGCCTCAAACTCACAGAGATCCGCCTGTCTCTGCCTCTTGAGTGCTGGGATTAAAGGCGTGCACCACCATCACCCAGCCCAGTAATGTACTTTAAAAGGTAATATAACATAACCAAGTGTATTTGTCCTAGAAATGTGAGGTTACATAAATATTTGAATGTTAAACAATTTAGGCCACCATAATAACAGAACAGAAATAAAACCTATCTCATCTTTGTTGTTAAATATACAAAAGTATTTGACCAAGTTTAACGTCCATTTTCAAAACAA